CACAGATCCGCCCCGCCCGGCTCCGTCCGCCACCGCCCCGCCTGCCACCGCCGCCTCGCAGCACCGCCCCGCCCGGATCCATCCGCCACCGCCCCGGCCGCATGCCGCTCCCGATGGCGCCGAGGGGCAAGTCGGGCTTCTTCGGCGTGAGGCAGAAGCCCTCCGGCAACTGGGGTGTGGAGTTCTCCGACGCCGGAAGGCGTTGGTGGATCGACACGTACCCCTCCGCCCACGAGGCCGCGCGTGCCTACGACATGGCGGTGTGGCGTGCCGAGAGGCCTCGGTCGCACCTCAACTTTCTAGAGATCGAGAGTCGGGCGGAAGCGGAGTTGCTTGTGCCGCAGGGCATCAACATGAAGGAGATCACGACGAAGAAGAAGACGAAGAAGCCGTCGGTTGTCGTCAGTGCTGGCAAGACCGATGAGGAGGCGATGGCGAGGTTTGCTCGGGAGAATCCGGAGTACGTCCAGGCCGAGATGGAGTACTACTGGAAGTGTGAGGCGGAGCAGAAGAAGAAGAAGGGGCCGAAGAAGGAGGATGAGGCCGGTCCCTCGAGGGTGATCCCCATCGAGTCCTCTTCCGAGGAGGACTGGGCAGACTTCTCAGAGGAGGAGGAGGAGGAGGAGGAGGAGGAGGGGTGCGACGACCCGACGAAGGAGGAGTTCTGGGAGCAGTTCCGTAGCTCCGATGAGGAGTAGTTTATCTAGTAGTTTGAATAAGTAGTAGTTGAAGTTGATGTATGAAACTATGTTGAATTTGATGTTTGAACTATATTGAATGGACTAGTAGTATGTCGTTCTACATCTTTATTTTAGACCATCTATTGGAGTTGCTCTTTTGGACCATCAATTTAGACCATCTATTGGAGTTGAGCTTTTTTCGGAGCTCCAAAACGTACTTTTTGACGGTCCAAATTTTACATCTCCGGTTTTGGACTGTCAAAATTTGGACCATCTATTAAAGATGCTTTTAATAGTCTATGTACAACCGTATCCATGCAAAGAAGTAGTTAGATGGTCAAAGTTGTGAATCAGCCAACTAACTTCAGGGCCAAGAATTAAATCATGCGTTCATGAAAATGACACCATTGAACACAACGGTCAATTTAGTGGTGTAGATGGCAACGTTTCCTATTGTTTGCTAAGGACGTACTGCTGTCTGAAATAGAATTGTGTTTCTGGACTATCAGAATTTGCAGATTATGACCGGTAGGCCATCGATCATATATTGATTATTTAGAGATTGTGACCGCTTAGTCATCATATATTGATTGACAATATCAGTAACACGAAAGGTCCATAGTTGTCTCACTGGTGATGACACGGTTGCTTCAACGCTCAAATCATTGAAAAGAATATTGTTGGAAGCATTTCGGAGCATCGATTTTTCTCCCAAGACCTCATTTCGAGTGAAGATTTGCAGGCAGTTAAAACATTCGTCAATGTTTATCATGAAACTAATCAGAATCTTTTGAATTTATTTACCATTTTTCATATTTTACTCACCAGGGAGCATCAGAGCTTTTTTTGAAAAAAGAGGATGACCTCTAACCTCTGCATTAAGGCGATGCATTCAACAATTTTATTAATTATTTCTCAAGACTTTACAAATTAATACATTAATAAGTCTGAAGCCATCATCTTGACAACATTCATCGCTACTCCTATCTACTTGATGGAGTGCAGATTGTCGAGGCCGTATATCCAGACCTCACAACAAAGCCCAATATCTAAAGTCGGAGCGCCCAACCAAGCCGAATTGCCGGGTTTGACTCACACACGTCTCCGGCGCACTCTCGGCAAGCATTGCACGCGCACGATGCAGAGCCATCGCCCCCGTCTTTCACCAATCCATCTTCAGAGCAGGTATTGACGCATCCATCTTGCCAGGCTCGCCGTCGATGCCACGACGGTACCAGACAACGCCACCACCCTATGTGCATCCATCATCACGCATCCATCGCCGAGACCCTCCAGCGCCATGCAGCCGAGACTCGACGTCATCGATGCGTCACAGGAACCGCCGATCCACCGCAGAAGCCGCCCACTGGTCCCTCGAGTCTATGGACACCTTAAAAAATGACGCCCCCAAGGAGGGAACGACACAAAGACCGCCGCTGTCATCCTATCAACTGATCTAGGATTTTCCCCGGAGGTAGCGGATAGAGGTCTGGACCTTCTCAACGATGATGCCTTCAAGAGAGGAATGACACAGAAGAGCGTCGCTGTCATCCTGTCAACCGATCTATGATTTCCCCAGGAGGTATCAGATAGAGGTCTGGAGCTTCTCCACAACGATGTCTATCGTCGTCGATCCGAGGTTAGGTGGTGCGCTGCCACAAATCTGACTGCCGCCACCACCGAACGCCGCCATCCTTGCTGCCCGAGGCAGGGCAGGCCGTCGTGGCCGCAACCATCGTCGTCTGAGGCAGGGCCGGCCGCACGACCACCGCCGATTACAACCCTCGCCGCCGCCGCGCTGCCAAGGACAGATGGGACGCGCCTTCTCAAGCCGAGGGGCTCCGCACCACCCTCATGACGTGGGAAAGAGGGAGTCCCCCGCCACCGCCGTTAGCACCCGGGCTTAGCCCGGCAGCGCCCCCCGACGGCGGTGGAGGGAGGAAGGGTAGGAAGGAGCGCCCCTGGCAGCTAGGGTTTCGGCCCTGCCCGAGTCGCCCAAGAGAGGGCGACGCGAGGGTCAGTCGCTTGTACGTACGTGCGTCTGTGTCGCGTTAGATCTGGGTTATTCTTCAAAAGGGCACGTTCGCTATATACAGCCTATCTGATCAAGTCTTCAGTCGGCTTGCTTCAGTGCTTGTAGTCGTTGTTGATGGTCTATGTATCTGAATGTAATTTTTATTATTTCTGATGTTCTTGTATTGCCATGATTATGATTGAAGATGAATATACCGAAAGTTTTAAAAAAAAGAATTTTAGCTATTGTATCCATGTATTTTGTCGTTTCATGCTGATATGTTAACGAACCGATCGACCGGGTCTACGTGGGTATGTCCGCAACCGCGTCTTCGGAGAAGACTGTAATTGTTTAATGTCTCTCCATGGGGTAGCATGCCGATCGGAAAATTCAAAGAGAGCATGTGATTGTGATTGTGATCAGGACGCGCTTACATCTAATTGCCCATTAGATGTAGTCTACTCACTGCGAGCTCAACTGCCGCTGATACTGATACTGATAACTCTAGTTCTCTGCTCCCACACCCGCACCCACTGCATGCGTGTGTATATATGGCAGCTATCCCCTTCACCAAATCATCACAAGCTAGACACTTGCATCCGCCAAAGATCGATCAGTTGCCACCCAGACCATTCTAGCCTTGCCTCCAACACCAACATTTCCCCGTCGAGTTCTTGTTTGTCCTTCATAGGCATCTAGCAACCCAGCAGCAAGCAATGAAGGTGAGTTTCTTCTCCCAGTTTTTCTTTACATCTAGTGTTGCTTTGTTTAGCACGTAGCTTAATTTTGAGCAAGCAATACATTACTCTGAAGCTGAAGCATACGATTGATCCATCGTTTTTCTACTTGTTGTTGCAGCAAAAGATTGTTATTCAGTTGAGCATATCGTGCGACAAACACCGGTCCAAAGCACTGACGCTGGCCTCCAGAGCAGCCGGGGTGACGTCGATGGCGATAACCGGCGCCGCAAGGGACCAGCTGGAGGTGGTCAGCGACGGCGTCGACCCGGTGTGCCTCGTCAGCTGCCTCCGCAAGAAGCTCGGCCACACCCACGTCATCAAGGTCGAGGAAGTGAAGAAGCCGGAGGAGAAGAAGAAGGATGAACCGAAGCCGGCCATGCCCGTGCCCGTGTACCCGCCGGCGTACTACTACCAGCCCAGCTACTACCACCACCAGTACCAGCCGCCGCACATGGTCGTCTGCGAGGAACAGCCCAACAACTGGCGGACCATGTAATTAATTAATTGCCGGAGAATGATTTTGACGTACTTTAATTTTATCAGCATGCAACTATATTTTACATACATTTACATGTAAACGTGTTTATTGATTCATTCGAAGAAATAAAAAGGAGAGAGATGTCATTCTGTGACTTCGCTTGGCTAATTTCCACCTAGAAATCAAGGCAAACGCCAAGGTTATGTGAATCTTTTAGTTCTCAGTCGCTCGCTTCTTCTTTTTTTGTTATTTTTTAATGATAAATAAATAGACTTTATCCGTCATACTCCCTCCATTCCATATTCTAATGCGCATAGATTTTTGGCCTCGATTCCTATATGTAGTGCGCATAAGCTGATTTGGATCAAAGTAGCCCTTGGCTGGTTCACAGAAAGCAGCAGCAGATGCCCACGTGCTGTGACAGAGCTAGCAGGGGAGGGCATTTCCTGTCCAAATGAGAGTGCCAGCTCAAGCATTGGTATAAACGCCATATACAAAGGCGCATTACAAAGTGGAACAGAGGGAGTATCATTTAGGGAGTACAAGCTGATGAGAAACAAAACCAGGGATCTCAGTCGCTTGGTTCTCGGCGAAGGGTGAAGTTCGTAGATTAGATGTGGATTCGGGGTTCGGGCCTGTGCATGTGCATGTGCAGCTTCGTATGGTGAGGATGAGGAGTCAAACATCACAACTTTAGTGAGCGTATGTCATCTAGTCCATGTGATGATCTTTAGATGAACCTAATCATATGATGATTTGGCAATAATAGTGGTTGTATATCCAGTAAACAACAACTCTTTTGTGTTTGCGGTAGAGTCCCCTTCTCCTCTCCCTCCCGAGGCGCTCCCGCGGGCGCCATCGGGGGGCAACCCTAGCGCCTCCTCCTCCGGCCCTTCGCCCCGCCTCCTCCTCCCTCGCCGCCGCCAAGGGCGCCGCCGGCCGAAGGCCGCGTGGCCGAGGCGGCGGCGGGTCGGTTCTCCCCTGCGCGCGGATGGATGGCGTCGCGGGCCGCCTCCCTCCTGCTCGCGGCGTCGGGTCCTGGCCGGCTCCTGCTCCGGCGCTCCACCCCGCGCCCTTGTGGCCCGCTGACGGCTCCTCCTCCCCTCTCCCCCCTGCGGCTCGTGGGGTCTGGTGGACTCGGGCATGCTGGCGGCGGATCTGGGCGTCCTGGCCCAGATCCGGTGGATGTAATGGTCACCGGTGGCGGGGGTGGCTGGCGACCTTGTGGAGGTGGTGGTGTTGCGGCCGGTGTCCTTGCTGCTCCGGTGCGGGGTGGCGGGGCTTCGGGTGGTTCTGACTAGGGTGTGGAGGCGCAAGTGATGTGGTGGTGGCAGGTTGATTGCGGCGGCGTTCAGATTGTTCTGGCGCCGGCTCGTCTGTAAGTTGCTTGTGTCGGCCTCCGACCCCTCTCATCGGTGTCTGTTCGCTTCTCTCGCCGGAGGGTTGGCCTTCTCCCGACTGCGGTCCATCGACCGTCTCGCACCCGGTGCCGTAGGACCGAGCTGGTCTCGCGCCCGGCAGCAGGACCGGTCCCGTCTCGCGCCCGACAGCAGGACTGCGCTCATCTCACGCCCGGCAGTAGGACCGGCCCGTCTCGCGCCTGACAGCAGGATTGCGCTCCTCTCGCGCCCGGTGTAGCAGGATGGTTCGATGGAGGCTTGTTGTGGCGGGCCTATTGGGTCTCGGCGCTGGGACCGGCCAGGGGTGCGGAAGGCCGATCCTTTCCGCCCGTCTCTGCGGTTGGGGTAGCGGTGGGGCTCGGGGGACTTGGTGTCAAGATCTTGGAGTCCGGGGCGGTGGCCCTGGTGGTGGTGGCACAGTGCTCCTGGGCAGAGCTCGTGCCTCGGTGCTGTCCAGTTGCCACGGCCATGTGGGCGGCATGGTAGCAGGGGTGTGGCGTTCGGTGGCGGTGAGGGTTGGCCGGTGTGAAAACCTACTCTATATTCGGACGGACTGGCGACGGCGTAGATCGCTCCCTTCTTGAAGGCGTCGTCGTGCCTATCATTGCCCGTCGTGTTGCTCCAGGGGAAACTCTGATCCTTGGATCGGGCGGTGGCGGCGCTCCGGTGTCGTATCCTTCTTGGAGGCGCCGCCTTGGAGCCCACGGTTCGTCATATGCGGCTTCACTTCTTCGCGGTGGTGTTCACGGCTGAAGCCCCCGGCGGCTCTTGTAGTGCTAGGGAGTGTGTTGCTGCTTCAGCGCCTATGTATCCAGCCTTGGGTGTGTGTGCGCGTTTGTGTTGGATGAGTGTGGTTGTATCGGGCACTATTGGTCTATACTTTATATATAAAACGGGGCGAAAGCCTTTTTCAATAATATCCAGTAAATGCGCAAATAGAAATGAACAGTCAAACATGCTACCCCAGTAAGACCCAAATATTGTTTGAGCTATGTATTCTCAAAATATCTGAATAAACATATGGGATCACCATAGAATAAACATTTGGACAGGACCATGAAATTTTCTGATGAGAAAAGATACACAGGGTTGAGTGGAACTCCTGCTACACTAGTAGAAAAAGGGTCAAATGTGAAGCACATTAGTGCCGGTTTGAATTTGAGCCGGCACTAATGTGACCATTAGTACCGGTTCCAACGGCTAGGCGGGCGGGCATCATTAGTACCGGTTCGTGGGCAACCTTTAGTACCGGTTCATGCCACGAACCGGTACTAATGAGTCCAGTGCGGCTGTGGTCAGGCTGGGGCCCCCACGAAGACCTTTAGTACCGGTTCATGGCATGAACCGGTACTAGAGTTTCTTAATAAGCTGATTTTTAGTCCCACCTCGCCAAGAGAGAGGCGGTATGAGCGGTTTATAAGCCGTGAGTGCAGAGATAATGATGAAGAGGCACAATGCTCACCTGCACGTTGATTAGCTTCAAGCCTTTTGGAATAGCATAGATTGCACTTAGCTATGTGCAGTGCAGTCTACACTATTCCGAAAGGCTTGAAGCAAATTAACCAGCATTGCACCTCTTTTTTATTTTTAATAATTTATTTGAACTCCAGACTTCTTTTGTGTTCAGTATGCAGCATTCAAAGCGATGTCGTTAATTTCCAACATGTTCTGACATCATTTGTTGTTTTTCGGTCATTTACCTAATTGTTTAGAGAGCTAAATGACCGTGAAATTAAAAATCACTACAAAATGAATTCTGAAAATGTTGAAAATTGGCATGGTATCATCATTTAACCCGCATAGCATGTGCGAAAGAGTAGAGAGGGTCACGGCAAAAAATGGACGCACTTCATGTACAAACTGGACAAACTCTTTCGGAGCATCAGGGTTTCGGACGAGAACTCATCTGTTACACGGGCACTTCAATGTTTTTTAAACTTATTTGAACTCCGGACTTCTTTTGTGTTCAGTATGCATCATTCAAAGCGACATCATCAATTTCCAACATGTTCTGACATCATTTGTTGTTTTTCAATCATTTACCTAATTGTTTAGAGAGCTAAATGACCGTGAAATTGAAAATCACTACAAAATGAACTCTGAAAATGTTGAAACTTGGCATGGTATCA